AGCAGGGAGGAGGAGGTGGGCGGTGACAGGTGTGATCATGTGGCTGATGCGAAATGGCCCGCAATATCGAGGGCAGAGTTTTGGGGTGATGGGCAGTCGGAGGTTCTGGGTGTCGAGTAAAACTAGGTCGTCGGGCTGGTAAGTGACAGGTCGGCGATGGCGGTCAGCGTTGCGCTTAGCGATGATGTTTGATTTTTTAATTGCATCTGCTGCTCGGGTCCGTGCTGCTTGTAAATTTTCATCGAACTGTTGCGCGCGTGGCACCGGGTTGTCGGAATTTGGGGTCATGGATACCGTGGGGTCTTGTCCGTAGTTCAGATAAAACGGTGACTGTTGGGTCGTGGCGGATGGCGAGTTGCTGTATGCGAATTCGATGAGTGGCAGCTGCTGTTCCTAGGTGGTCGGGTCATCGCACGTGGCTCGGATGAGTTGCTCCATGGTCTTGTTTGTCCGTTCTGTCTGTCCGTCGGTCTCGGGGTGGTACAAAGAACTAAACTGTAGTCGCGTGCCGAACTGCTGCCATAAGTTCCCCCAGAAGTTGCTGGTGAATTTCGTGTCGCGGTCGCTGATGATCGCTGCTGGTATCCCGTGCTGTCGAACGACGGTGGAGATGAAGAGGCGGGCTGTTTCTTCGGCTGTGATCGATCTCTTGCAGGTTGCAAAATGTGCCATTTTCGTCAGCCGATCGACGACGACTAAGATCGCGTCGTTCCCACTTGCTCCGGCCGGTAACCCCGTGACGAAGTCCATTGTCACCTGCTGCCAAGCACGCTCTGGGGGTGGTATCGGGTGCAACTGTCCTGCCGGCCGCTTCCGTGATGACTTCATGAGCTGGCATATGGGACACGATGCCACGTGTCGCTGTACGTCGGTCAGCATTTCGGGCCAATAATAATACTGCTGCAGCTGCTGCCGTGTTTTTTCTACTCCAAAATGGCCTGAGGTAATTCCGTCGTGTGCCTCCTGTAGCAGTAATTCCCGTAGTAGTGTGTACTCTGGTACCCAGATGCGGTCGGTGCCGGCTTTTACGTAATAAACTCCCTTTGCTGCTGCGAACTGCTGCGAATTCACTCCTGTGAAGAACGGGTCTGTTTGGTACCCGTGGGTAAATAGTCCTGTCAGTAGTGGGCTGGTCTGGGCAAGTAGTATTGCGTGGATTTGGGCAGTGGGGCGGGTCAGTGCGTCAGCGATGTTGGATGCCCCCCTTTTTGTAGGTGACCGTGTAGTGAAAATTGGACTCGAGAAAATCGAGCCAGCGGATCTGTCGTGGGTTGAGGTGGGGCTGTGCGCGGAGGTACTATAGTGATTTATGGTCTGTCAGTACTGTCATGTCTGCGCCGGTCAAGTAACAGCGCCACACTTTGAATGCGTGTACGATCGCGAGCATTTCGCGGTCGTGTATCGGGTAATTTTTTCAAGCTTATGCAGTTTGCGGGACTCGTATGCGATGGGCTATAACACGTTGTCGAAATCCTGTAGCAGTACGGCTCCGATAGCGATGTCGCTTGCGTCTGTAACTACTTTAAATGGGCGGTGTGGGTCGGCGATGCGCAGTACGGGCGGTGTGGGTCGGCAATGCGCAGTACGGGCAGTGAACAAAGAACGCTTTTCAGGACAGAGAAGGCAGCATGCTCTTTTTCCCCCCACGTGAAAGCGACCCCCTTTTGTAGCAAGTCCGTCAGTGGCGTTGTTAACCGTGCCATGTCGGGGACGAACCGACGCACGTAATTGACGAACCCAAAAAAACTCTGCAGCCCTGTGATATTCGTCGAGGGGTGCTAGGCTTTTACCGTGTCCAGTTTCTTCGGGTCAATTTCAACCCCAGCCTCCGAAATAACGTGCCCCAAAAACTCTAGCCTATCCTGAAAAAACTTGCACTTGGAACCCTTGGTCAGTAGCCGGTGCTCGTCTAGGATTTTAAATACTGCTTCCAGATCCGCTAAGTAAACTTGGTCAGTTTTAAATACTTGCTGCTGCTTATCGTGACTGTAGACGAGGATGTCGTCGAGGTAAACTATCACGCATTCATCTATGAGTGGCCTAAACGCCTTGTTCATGGTCATCTGAAATGTCGCCGGTGCATTGGTCTGCCCGAATGGCATTACGGTATACTCGAATGACCCGTACCTAGTCCTAAAAGCCGTCTTGGCGTAGTCCAATGGTTCGACTCGAATCGGATGGTAACCCCCCCGTAAATCGAGTTTTGAAAGACCCGTGCTGTGCGCAGTTGATCTATCAGTTCGTCGGCGCGGGGAATGGGGTATTGTGACTTGACGGTTACTCTGTTCAATGCTCTGTAATCGATGCACATGCGAAAACCTCCGTCTTTTTTCGGTGTGAACAGTATCGATGCGGCGAACGGTGACGAACTCGGTCGGATGAATTTCTTCTCTAACAGGTAATCTAACTGCTTCCTCAGTTCGTCGAGCTCGGGCTCTGTCAATCTGAACTGGCGCTGTACAATTGGCTGTGCCCCCGATTCTAGTTCTATTCGGTGATCGTGTGCCCGCTGAGGTGGCAGTCCCTCCGGTAAGTCATCGAGAAACATCCCTGGATACCGTTTCAACAGTTCCTGCAGTTCAGGCGGTACAGCTGCCAGCAGTTAATAAAATCACTCGGCTGCTCGGCTTCCCCTACCACTGCGATATCCTCCGCGTACACGTCAGCTCCAGCAGCGACAGCCCGTTTCATAATGATGGCGTTGACATGGACCGTTGAAGAATCGGGCGACTGCCAGCGAGGTAGCTCAACCCAGTTACCGCTACTTCGCACAGTGCAACTACCCGTCGTCCAGTCAATTCGCGGGTTATACCGTCGCAGCCAATCACGTCCCAGTAAAATGTCGTGCCCATCCAATGTCGTCGCGAGCATTTCTTGTGTAAAACCGAAGTTCCCCCCGCAGCGGAATTTTACTTTTTCAACCTTTTCCCGTATGGCCAGTGGTGTGCCGTCAACTAAGCGTGCATCTATGTCCGGTAAACACCGGCTAAGTATCAGTTGCAGTTTCCGTGTGATCACGGTATTAACTAAACTGTGACTTGCTCCTCCGTTGATAAAAGTCTTCACTGCTGCTCCCTGTATTTTCCCGTGGATCAACACTGGGCAATCCGTCGCTGTACCCTCCTTATTCGTCCGAGCCCGATCGATGGCGTGAATCGGTACTGTGACTCGGTGAGGGTCGGTGGGGTTGGGCGAGCAGGCAGTCCCGTCACTAGTTGGCCCGATTCCTACTGACTACTGGCGTTTCCCTGCCTTGGAGACTCCTTTCCCTGCTCTGCTCCGCGGCGCCTCAGCTCCTCTAGGCATTCGCTCTTGCGATGGCCCGGCCGATTGCAAGCAAAGCAGCGCCCCTTAAACGGCGCGGCAGCTGCATTCGTCGCAATGGCGTGTACGGTGGCGTGCTCGATCGGTCCCTGGGGGCGATGTCCATAGTAGGACCCCGGTCTCTGACGCCGCAAGATGTTGATTTTCTCGGCGAGCGCGAGAATCTCGTTGAAATTCGAGGGTCCGCGTAGCATGATTTCGTGCGAGATGTCCGGCTTCAGCCCTCCGACGTAACGGTCCACCCGCTCCGCTTCGTGCATGTAGCCGACTTGCTCGCATAATGCGAGAATACCACTCGTATAGTCTTGAACCGACCCGAGCTGCCGCCAAGTACGCAGTCTCTGACGCGCTGAAATAGAAGCCGCGATCGACTCGAAGCGCGCCCGAAGCCCTGCGCACCACGCATCCCACGTGCCGTATTGGGCTGGTTCGCAAAATGAACTCCAGGTGACGGCTGGACCAGTGGGCCCTTCCACTTGCGACGGTGGCTCGTAGGCGCGTGGCGATGTCACGATGACTCGCCACCAGTCCATGGCGAGGCCCCTGAGCAGCGAGACGGCATATCTGATCTTCGCTGCGTCCGACTCGATGTAGTTCGCGTCGAAAAACACGTTCATCGTGAAGACCCACGACTGAACCGTCGGACCTCTACGCTGGCTCGGGTCGAAACAGGGTGGGCGTTGCGGCTTGAGTGGCATCGGAGCCATAATGGCGTGGTCGCCACTGGTTGCTGCAAACTCCACGTGCCGACGGGCTTCGCGAGGTTCTCGCGGGCTTGGTGCGGCCCTATTTCTCTCCATGCCAGGCATTGAATGAGCGGCGCCATCACTGGCTGCACATGAGCGCGGTCCCACGCTGCCGTGTTGTGACGGTGTGCCGGACGAGATGACGATGGGCTTGTGCGTTTGTGCAGGTGTATTGGAGGGTGTCTGTGTTGGTGCAGGTGCGTTCGTGGCGGATTGCCAGCGGGCGGCGTCAAGTTCCGCCGTGAGCGTCACGACTTCGAGTGCCGAATTGTCAAGTTGGCTCATGAGACGGTCGAGTTGCTCCTGTGTCAGTGTCGCGAGAGTGAATTCGGCCATGGCGGGGGTGTCGGGCAAGCTCAGCGAGAGCCTCTGTCGTGGCCGTGCGTGCTTACGAGAAAGCACTTCGAGCGGCGGTGCTTGATTCGCTGAGAGACGTCTACCCCCCCAAAAAATTGAGATAGTGGGGAAGCGAAGGTGTGGGTGCGGTCCAAGAAGAGATCGAAGGCTCTGAATACCAAGTGTTACAAGTGCAATTGAGTGAGCGAGCGAGAATTGCACTATCGAAGCAACGCGAACTAAGGAAAAGGAGTTTTCCTTATAGGGGTTAATGATTTAGGGGGGATTGGAGTCTCTCGCACTCCTCTCTCACCACCTAGTCCAATTTCACCAAACCCACCCGAGTAAAATAGGCCACAGTACTATTGATGGAGTTCACCTGCCGGCCGCCTAGCTGGCGAGCCGAGCGAGCTTGCGCAACTTGAGGCGCGACTTCGTCCTCTCCGCGCATCGCCGTCGCCACCAGCCCGGCCGGCTCCGCGTTTTCCCTCGTGTGTCGCGGCGATGGCGTTTCTCGTCGCGTTCTGCCTCCTCGCCGTGCTGAGCCACGTCGGCTGCACGCACGCGCAGGCGGAGCCGGGACTGGAGCGCGCCATGTCCTTGTATCGGGTACGGCCTCGCGGAAGAGTGGCTGGAAACAGCCCGTGTGCGCTAGCCTTCCCTCCTCTCTCCCTCTCTCTCGAATCAGCTCTCACCTCCCACACCGCGCACGGCGCAGCGGTGCAGGGATGATGCAGCCAGCGCGCCGACTCGTCTCCCCTGCCGCACGTCGCGCGTGCTCCCTATCCACACTTCCCGCCCACTCCCCTGAATACTCGCCAGGGCGCGCTCGCGAAATCTGCCTACGAGGATTTACGACCTTCCCCCCACCCTCCCGATCCGTCCCCTCTTACTGTATGCGCATCCCACCGCTTGCAGGGCCACTGATTTCACCTCGTCCTCTCTCCTTCCTCCTCCACCCTCCACCCACCATCCTCTCGCCCTTCTCCCCCAACCCCCCCAACCTTCACCCCCGCCAGGCATGGGAGGCCGCCTACGGCCTGCAGGGCGTGTCACCCCTTCCCCCCGCCGCCGTCGCGCTACCGCCCAGCGTGCCGCCCGCGCCGCACCTGGAGGCGTGCAGCGTGCGTTCCGCGTGGCGCCACAAGGTGGAGAAGCGGGGCGCGCAGGGGGAGGCGCAGGGGTGGGCGCGGGGGGCACACCCGCAGCCACCGTGGGTGAGTGGCGGGCGGTAGACACACCGTTGTGCAGGGGTCATGGCATGCGCAGCAGATGGGTGCCGGGCGCAGGGCAGGAGAGCGGGCAGCAAACAGACCCCTCGCCTGCAATGTGGGCGAGCTGCGGGCAGGAGGGCATGGGGTAGTGGGTGGGGGGTGGGGGACAGGCGGGGGGGAGCTGTTGGCGAGGGTCGGGGAATGAAGGGCAGAGGGGTGAGGGCAGAGGGGTGAGGGCAGAGGGGCTGAGTGCTCGAGCTGGCACTATGTGGTGGCAGATGCAGTGGGCTAGACTAGAGTCCAGGTGGTTGCTCGGTGCAGAGAGGAGCATGGGTCGGGCAGGCAAGAAGCGGCAGAGACAGAGTGATGCTGGTGATTCCATGTGCACTGCGCTTGCCTACGCCTGCTGCTGCTGTCAGCCTGCGACTGCCTACGCTCTTCCATCTGGCCCCAGTTGGCCCCAGCTCCCTTCATCATCCACGCACGCCCTTCCCATCCCGCACCCACAATCTCTCCTCGCCTGCCCTGCCAGCCTCACCACCATCCCAGTGCAACTCTACTTCCCGCTCCCCTCTCCCCCTCCCTTTCTTCACCCAAGGTGCGCGGGTCAGATGCAAGCAACCTGGGGCGAACGCGCGAGGCACAGAGGGACATCTGGCAGCACCAGTTCCCGGCGGGCGACTGTACCACACAGAGGCTGCTGCTCATTGAGTGGCCGGCGTCGCAGCATGGGTTGGGGTCGCAGCTGCACATCATGAGCGCCGCTCTCAGCCTCGCCATGCAGCACTCTCGCGTGCTCGTGCCCACCGCCTCCTTTGACCGCGCCAACCATGCCGAGTGCAACGGTGGGCGGGCGGGCGCCTTGTGCAGGGAGGGACGAGAATGGAGATTGGTGTTGTTGCTTCTGTGGCGGTTGCTCCTCCCACGTCTCTCCTCTACTCGCCACTCCGCTCTTGATCACCTGCCCACGGCTCTCCACTCCACGTCTCCCTTTCATTGTCTCACTACCCCCTTTCCACCCACTGCCCGTCCTATCCGTCCAGCAGCCACAGGATCCCTGTCGTCCTTCCACTGCTACTTCGTCCCCTCGTCTTGTGCATGGGGAGAGGAAAATGGTGTCATTGCTGCTTTGGCTGTTGCGCCTTCCATGCCTCTTCTTGTACCCACTCTCGTCCCATGATCTCCTGGCCATGTCCTTTTCATCGCTTCTCCTTGTGCGCCTTGCACTGAACTGCCTCATGTCCTCCACCACCCGCTCCCCGTCCCTCTCCCTCATGTCATGTCCACTCCCCCCCCTCATCCACTCTCCCACTTCTTCCTTCTTCAGCTACTGGCGCCCTGGCGTCCTTCCACTGCTATTTCTTCCCGCTCGTCTCACCACACTGTGAGAGGGCAGCAGCGGATGCAGCAGCAGCAGGGCAGGTGGGCGAGTGTGCGTCGCACGAGCCGCCAGCGAGGGACGGCGTGCTGGCGAGTGAGAGGCGCGTGGTGTGCTTCCATGGGGAGCCGTACAGCGCTCTGTGGCTCGAGGCTGCCATGGCCAAGTGAGTCATGCTGTCCCCTGCTGCACCTTGCATGCATGCACATGTACGCTCACGCATGCGCTCACTCATGCACACCCACGTGCGCTCACGCACACGCGCACCTGAGCCGTGCTGCGCCGTGCATGCAGTCATGCATACGCGCATGCGCACTTACAGTCGTGCACACAGGCACACGCCTGGAAATGCAGGCGCGCGCGCGTGCGCACGCACACACACACACATGCACACACACACAAACACACACTCACACGCATACGCATTTGCGCGCGCGCGGACACACACACACACACGCGCGCGCGCGCGCGCGTGCGTGCATGTGCAGCGGTGCATGCCTGTGCTGCTGTGGTTTGAGCGACTAACAACGCACTCCATTGATCCCCTTCCCTCGACTTGCCTGTGTGTGGGTGTGCCTGTGTGTGGGTGTGCAGGCGGTGGTGGGGTGCATGGTATGAGCGGCCCAACACAGTGGAGGTGAAGGGCAAGATGGCGGAAGAGGCTGACGTCATGCCGCATGTGAGATGGCATGCCGCATGTGAGATGGCATGTCGCATGTGAGATGGCATGCCGCATGTGAGATGGCATGTCGCATGTGCGATGGCATGTCGCATGTGAGATGGCATGTCACATGTGAGATGGCATGCCGCATGTGAGATGGCATGTCGCATGTGAGATGGCATGCCGCATGTGAGATGGCATGCCGCATGTGAGATGGCATGCCGCATGTGAGATGGCATGCCGCATGTGAGATGGCATGCCGCATGTGAGATGGCATGGCGCATGTGAGATGGCATGGCGCATGTGAGATGGCATGCCGCATGTGAGATGGCATGTCGCATGTGAGATGGCATGTCGCATGTGAGATGGCATGTCGCATGTGCGATGGCCTGTCGCATGTGAGATGGCATGTCACATGTGAGATGGCATGCCGCATGTGAGATGGCATGTCGCATGTGAGATGGCATGCCGCATGTGAGATGGCATGCCGCATGTGAGATGGCATGCCGCATGTGCGATGGCATGCCGCATGTGAGATGGCATGCCGCATGTGCAATGGCATGCCGCATGTGAGATGGCATGCCGCATGTGCGATGGCATGCCGCATGTGAGATGGCATGCCGCATGTGAGATGGCATGCCGCATGTGAGATGGCATGCCGCATGTGCGATGGCATGCCGCATGTGAGATGGCATGTCGCATGTGCGATGGCATGCCGCATGTGAGAAAATGGTAGTGCACCGCAGCATGGCATCGCCTGGTAGTGCACCACAGCTGCTATCGTACGTGCTTAGAGCGCAGGCAGGACATGTCGTAGTCTCTCCTGCCTAATCCAGACGCTCCGCACGCCCTTCTTCCCACCTCCGCATGCCTCTCTCACGCCCCTCTTTCCATGTCCCCACGCCCCTCTTTCTATGTCCCCACGCCCCTCTTTCCATGTCCCCACGCCTCCCTCTCGCTCTGCCAGGTGCACTGGTGGCGGGCACAGTCGCTGCGCTTCATGCTGCGCTGGCCCTCGCCCTACCTCTGCCACCTCACCAACCGCCTGCGCCACTCCTCCCTCTCCCTCTCCATCGCCTCCCGCCTCTCCTCCTCCTCCGCCCTCCAATCCTCCCTCCTGCGCTCCCACCCTCACCTGAAAGAGACATTGCAAAGAAATGCTCCCCCCTGCAGCTCTGCTCGTGCTACCAGTGGTGGGGATGGTGGTGCCAGCAGCAGCAGGAGAAGGTTGCTGGAGATTGTAGACACGAGCGCAGCCGGTAACACGAGCGCAGCCGGTAACACGAGCGCAGCTGGTAACACGAGCGCAGCCGGTAACACGAGCGCAGCTGGTAACACGAGCGCAGCCGGTAACACGAGCGCAGCTGGTAACACGAGCGCAGCCGGTAACACGAGCGCAGCCGGTAACACGAGTGCAGCTGGTAACACGTGTGCAGCTGGTAACACGAGCGCAGCCGGTAACACGAGCGCAGCCGGTAACACGAGCGCAGCCGGTAACACGAGCGCAGCCGGTAACACGAGCGCAGCCGGTAACACGAGTGCAGCCAGTAACACAAGCGCAGCTGGTGACACCAATGCAGCTGGTAACACAAATGCAGCTGGTAACTCAAGTGCACCTGGTAACACAAGTGCACCTGGTAACACAAGTGCAGCTGCTGAAACGGCAGACGGAGGAGGCAGCAGCTTTGCAGCAGGTGCAACAGAAATCCCAAGCTCTTCTCAAGAGAGCAGCAGGGTGTTCCCATGGCAGCAGCAAGGGCAGCAGGGGTGCACTCTTGAGGCCACTGCATGGGCTCGCGAGGGACTGGGCCAATGTGCTCCCACCAGCGCACCCTGCAGCACTGCTCATGCTGGTGCCAGTGCTGGTAGCGGCAGCAGTAGCGGTAGTGATGGCAGCAGCAGCGACAGTGGCAGCAGCTCGCAGCCACCAGAGCAGGCGACAGGTGGGGTGGGTGAGGGGGAAGCGTGGGCCAGCAATGAGTGGGGCGGGGAGGGGGCGGGGGAGGCGTACCTGCCGCGGCCGATAGTGAGCATGCATGTGCGGCAGAGCGACAAGGGCGGGGAGATGGCGCTGCACTCGCTGGCCGCCCACATGTGGATGGCCTACCGCCTGCGCCTCGCGCTGCCCCACCTGCGCCACATCTGGCTCTCCTCCGAAATGCAGGTGCGCTGGGGGGGGGGGGGGAGGGGAGGGGTGTGGGAAGTGTGGAGTGGATAGGGCTATGGAGTTTTATGGGTGGAGGCATGGAGGGTGTGAGCAGGGAAGTTTGGGGTAGCATAACCATATGTGCATGGCATTGAGGGTGGAAAGCTTTGGGTGCACTGTGATATGGCCACCCTGCCCGCTATTCCCCACTTCCATGCCAACACCTCTATCTCTCTCTGTGCATTGGTGCAGACGGTGATAGACGAGGCGGCGCAGTATCGCGATTGGACCTTCCTGCACTCCAGCAACGCGCGCACCAACGTGTCGGTGCCGCACTGGGACGTGGAGGAGGCAGCGGGGCGGCACATGGTGGTGGGCAGCAGCCTCGCGGAGCTGCTCACTGCAGCGCAGTGCGACTTCTTCATCGGGGCGCTGGGGTCCAACTGGGTGAGGATGATCAATGAACTACGCTCCACCAATGGCCGCCTGCTGCATGGATTCATTGCCCTCAACATACAAGAGTTTTGATGTATGTGTGTGTTTGTGTTCTAACCATGTTGTAGCGCCAAAATATTTTAGCCGCTGTCTTTAGAAAGGCCCTATCCTAACATGAAGTTCCTCAGGCTATCACAATTAGGGTGCATTCCTGTGTCGACATTTGTGTCTCAATCGTTTTGTGACGCCTATAAACAGCATAAAACGTACAATGTCACAAACGCGTGTCGCCCTTGTGCGACCAATACTGTATTTTTCATTGGTCAGCGTGAAACGCGCTGGCGTCGCGGACGAGTTGCATATTGTTGACCCGTCACTGCGCACACGGCTCGAAATGTCAATGTACCTGGACACCCCACCCACAATGCCAATCTCGCGCGGGAAAAAATTCCGCTCGGAGAAACCCCACCCCAGCCAGGCGGTTGAAGACACAGGTGTACACTGTATCAGACTTTGGAGTCTGATTCAGAGTCCGTTCAGACTTTTTTTTTGTACCTAGTCTGAACTCAAAGAATTTTTTTATGCACCCTGTCTGATTTTTCAGAGTTTTTTTAACTGACTTGTCTGAAATTTCAGAGTAGTCATAGTAGTGTAGGCTGAGCCTCAAACTTGTATCGGGGGTCCACTCTGAAACCGGTTATACAGGGGTTTCCGCCGACTGAATGAAAGGTTATCGGAACGAAACTTCCTCGAAACTTTTTTTCGATACACCCACGTGTGTACGGGCCAGCACTAACGATTTCCTCCGGATAAAACTGCTCGAGTAGGGGTACAAGGATACACTACTTTGTCGACGCTATCTCGAGTGTCGAATTCATTGGGAGCTTATAATAACCCTTAAATTGTGAAACTAGATAGCCAATCGCACATGGCCAAAACGATTTTAGCGAATCGCACATGGCGAAAAGCGAATTGGTGCAACCGAAAGCCGTGTCACATATGAGTCTCGTACTTCAGCAGAACCGCACATCATTTCCCCTTCCCAAAACGAGTCAAAATTTTGAATCTGAAACTTTAGGAGAGAATATTCCGCGCACATAGGGTGTACACAGTTGAAAACTCTTGCTGCAGCCAGCGCGCCCAGCACAGAAAAGTTCCGAGCGATACCGTGCCTGCTGCCAGGTCAGCTGATTGGGAGCTTGCCACACTTGGCACTTGCACGAGGCCATTGTCTGATGCCCACACCTCGACTCGACCCTGACTGCTCAGTGATCCTAACTCTTGACAAATGACCAATCAGAGTGCCCCATTTCTGGCCGCACAATTGCGTTGGTATGCTGTAATCAGCTTCAATGCTATTATAGCTATGCTGTTATGAAACTGCATGAACATCTTCAAATTTGAAGTAACTCTGACAGTTCAGACAAAAGTTGTGCTTGTCTGAATTTTCAGACTAAAAAAAATAGGTAACTCTGACAGCCAGACTAGGAAGAGGGGTGTACTCTGAGGCGTCAGACTACCTCAAAACGAATCTAGGGGCCTGGTGTACAGTCATGTTTGAAATCCAATCAGATGCGCACATCTTTAAATTTCGCCTGATCGCCCAGTTTCGCGATAAATTCGATTTTTGTGACACGCATTTGACAAAATGTTTCGACGCGACTCGGGAAATGGGGCATTGAGACATTTGTGTCCACACAGGTATGTACCCTCACTATCCACCTGCACCCCTGTGCCCAAGTCTCCCAAACCTGATCCTTTGTTCAGCCCTCAACACATCAGTGTCGATCTCCCTGGACCAATCAGGGAGCTCCCTGTGTCCCAGGAAGTGCACCATAGCCCTGATAATGCGTGGATCTCGAAAGTAAGCCCCGTGGTTGGGGTCAAATTGGCCAGTCAGCTCGCTGAACCGCTCCTCTATCATCACACACAGCTGCTTCACCTGCACGAGGGAGGAGGGGGAGGCATGAACCAGGTCAAAGAGGAGGGAATCATACACTCCACGTAGGACTCCCAGAAACTTTTGACTCTAAGCGGACCATGTCGGCTGTTAAGGAGAAAGTACAGAGAGAGTGATCCGCCCAGCACACGGCTCGCTTGCTTGTATCATAAATCGTGCACCTCCTCGTTGCTTGTTTGCTTACCTTCCAGCTAGGTAGCAAGTCAGGTTTAAAAAGTTTACTTGCTTTCCTGCCACATGCACCTTCAACTGCAGGCTGTGTGTGAGTGGGCACCTTCCAAGGTCACAGCAGCTGCTGTCTCACCTGGCGCACGCACTCCTGGTCGGAGAGGCGCGGGTTGTGGGTGATGGCCTGCAGCTGCGAGCGCAGCAGCTTGTACGTCTCGCACTCACTCGCTGCTGCCTCCAGCGCGCCGTCGTTCCACAGGAATTCATACGCCACCCGTGCTGCCTCCTCCCTGCTGCCTCTCGCACGCACTCGCTGCTGCCTGCCGCTGCCGTGCTGCACTCCTGTCGCCTTCAGCTGCCCCTCGTGCCTCGGCCTCACCACCTTCTCCTCTGTTACCTGCACCTGCTGCTGCTTTCCTTTCATCTCTTCACGTGCACCCTCAACAAAAGCCTCACCCACTCCCCCCTTCCGTCCTACACGTCCAACTCCCTCTGCAGCGCTGCCCCCTCCCCCCGCTCGCCCTTCCTTGCTTTCACCCCCTTCTTCACCCATTTCCTCATCGCCCTCCCCTCTCTCCCCCCCCTGTCGCAGAGCCTGCTGCATGAGGCTTAAGCTTGGCCTCACGCTTCCTGGTGCTCTGCCCTTCCCTCCCTTCTCTCCTGCTGCTGCCACCATTTGTTGTTGGGCGGCTCTGAATGGCTCCACGGCCTCCCCCAACCCCAAGTGGGTACCAGAGAGCCCCGTTCGCTCAGCTGTATGCATGCAGCTGCCCTGCTGTGGTCTTGACACACTTGTCTGTATTGCGTCTATCCCTGCACTCCCTGCACCCTCAACACCCACTCTTCCATCACCTTCCCCTTGCCTCGTCACCCTCACCTCCCTCTCTCCAACCTCCTCCTGCTCCTTTCTCTCCTCCGCCTTACCCTCCCCACTCGACCCCTCATCAGCTATCCCTTTCCCAGTTACGCCCCCTTGAGGCACCCGCTCTTCAAGTAGCCCCTCCCTGAGTACAGCCTTCCCCATGTCACGCGTGTCATCCTCATACCCCGCCATCACCTCCCCCCGCATCGATCGCGTCTTGGCCAGCGCCAGTAGTTTCTGAGAAAGTGGGGGGACAGGGGGGGAAGGGGGGAGGATACGGGTGGCAGGAGTAAGCTAGAAGGAGAGTGTTCATTCCCCTCGGAACACAAGGCAGACGAAAGAACACAAGTCATCGAGACATTTCAGATCTTGGTGTGCGCTGCTGCAACTGCCGCAGTGTTGCGCGTGCATCTGATGTGAGCGCACCTGCATGTGATGTGAGCGCACCTGCATGTGATGTGAGCGCACCTGCATGTGATGTGAGCGCACCTGCACGTTCCAGTGCTGCACGTGGTGTGATGGCGACCACTCGTCCAGGTGCAGGCACTCGTCCACAAACACACTGGCGAAG